ACAAAGTCCACAAGACAACAAGTGACATCAATAAAATGAGCTGCCAGTCCCATAAGAGAGACAGTAAAGAAATTGGATCCCAAAAGTGCAAATAGAACTTACTGCTTATAATCAGTAATCAACATTTTTAAAATATTAATATCAAACAATTTTTTATCTTGAGTATACATTAGTGTATTGGTTAAACAATACGCTAATAATAAAAAATATATTGTATATACTGTATTGAAATTCTACTCATAACTTTTGGATCCAAGTTTATGAAAACATATAATACAGGCAGACCATAATGAGGCCTGGAGCGGTTAATAACAAGGCGGCTGCACACTGACCTCACCACGAAGAAGAGAACAATATCAAAATGGGTACCTACTTCCAGTGCGCACTAAATCCATGCATTCGTAAGCATAATGAACACCCACAGTAGGTCATGCAGAATAGATGTTAGAAAGAAGGTCTATCCAGTAGGCCAGCCATACTGGTTTAAATGTAAAGTGAACAGGGATTATGAACATTGCAAAGAGCTGCATAAGAGGTTCATCATAACTCTTATGAAACATCTCACACATATTCTCATATCATATAACAATTGCTTTCTTCTTGAAATATAAAGACAACTAAAGCAAGCACAAATCCTCCTGCAAGGGTTTAGGAAGAAGAATTTGTTAACTACACATTAAAATTAAAATTAACACATCTGTTAAACAACTGATCTTATACAGTACACAATTTGAAAATATACTATGACTTCAAAATTGATGTCGCATAACTATTCATTAAAAAAGATTTTAAAAAATTCTCCAACGTGCAGGGTTTGAGCCTTATATCAGCAGTGTACATAAGTACAATATAATTAAGGCCAGTGAGGAACTGGTCTTCTAAAATACACAGCGTTGCTTGGCAAGGCTAATGGGCGATGTCTTACGGTATTTTGCTTTCTCATTATTAAAGTGAAAATTAAACACCTCAAACAAAGGTGACGAAAATTAAATGCCAAAGTTAAATGTTTTAAAATAGCTAATATTATTAGATATGTGTGCTTATGTTCATCATATGATAGTACTTAAAAACCACCAAGCCTAAGCCAAGATACAATGTGCAGTTTAGTATAAGGTCTTTACTGACACCTGCCTTGATGCTTGCATGTCTCAGTTACACCTGTCTCAACCCAACACCTGTACCTCCTTAACATCTGCCTAACAACACTGCAAAAATAATAACTTTGTCAAAGAATGTGGCGAGTCCCGGTGATCTCGACAGTTCCAGACGAACTTTTAATAACCGTCCTGCAACAAACTATTAGCTGAAAAGTATGGTTAAGTTATATCAAACATTTACTATTTTAAGTTTTATCAGAGAAGCAATTAAATGATCAAGCAAAGTATTGATTTTAAGCAAATAATTTACAATTTATGGCTTCAAGAGGATACGAAGGAAAGACTAATGGAATAACTGTACTAAATCACTGCCTCCTCTGTCATGCTGCATTTAGCTATGAAATACAGACGCTACACAATGCAGACAGCGTGCTGTATCCAGACAGTGCAGGTGTATATTTGAGTGCAGACAACCTGATAGCATTAACAGGTTAAATTTGGAAAATGCCTGTACAATTGGCAATTGACTGTAAATATTAAAATTTTATTCAAAAGTATTACAGCACTTTAAAAAAAAGTACATCGGTATAAACTAAAAGGGAAAATGGTTTTAGAAAGTTTATAGAACAATATTTTGAGTAACGTGCATAGTTTGAAGTGTTTCGGCCATCCAGCAATCACAAAATGCCAACATAAATAGTTCCTAAAAACATCCTTTTTCCCGAGGACTAACAAACAGTGGTGTGTAACTGTACATGGTAACTGGACGCTAAGAAATATTGATAACATAGGGAGAGCAGCACAAGGCAGTATACAATTACAGTATACTGCAGCATAATGCAGTATACAGTTGCAGTATACAATTACAGTATACAGAAGCACAAGGCAGTATACAGCTACAGTATACAGCACCAGAAGACAATATGTATACGGTTACAGTATACAGCAGTGCAAGGCGGTATACAGCTACAGTATACAGCAGCACAAGGCAGTATACAACTACAGTATACAGCAGCACAAGGCAGTATACAGCTACAGTATACAGCAGCACAAGGCAGTATACGGCTACAGTATACAGTAGCACAAGGCAGTATACAGCTACAGTATACAGCACCAGAAGACAATATGTATACAGTTACAGTATACAGCAGCACAAGGCAGTATACAGTCACAGGTCACTGCAAAAAGAGTGAATGCGAGAAGCGTCTGGTGATACATGGTCCTACGTTTGATTATAGATCAGTCTAAATATCTAAACTAATGTTTTGTTATAAATCACAAAAAAAACACAGGTTAAACCACATACTTAGCGGCATCTATACCAGGAGTATTTTATTAAATAAGATAAATAACATTAAAACTCGTTCAAAGCCTCTCCGCATATGTTTTGTGCACATACAGGAGTTGCAGAATATGAGGTAATATCATTACAGAGGAAAACATATTTACAGAAACTTCAGAACATGAGGTAATATCATTACGGAGAAAAAAATATTTTTCAGAAACTTCCTAAGATTATAAAATATCTTCTCAAGTCCTTTATTTGTCCAGCTTACATAAATACTGCACATTCATAACAAAATTGTGTATTTGGAAAGTGAATTCAGAATCAGATGTGGTCTATTCTTTGTATAACAATGCCTTTGTATGTGTGTGTGTGTGTGTGTGTGTGTGTGGCTAATTTGGTCAAGCACTGGGTTTATGGCATCAATTGTAAACCTACTAGTCTAATGAAAAATTCACTTTGAAAACACAATCAATGAGTTTTCAGTATCCTTCAGGTGGAAATACAAACACATTTCCCATAATATATCTTAAACTGACTTCTCAACGGATCCATTATTATGACACCTGACGACAACCAGCATATTATATATATATATATATATATATATATATATATATATATATATATATATATATATATATATATATATATATATATATATATATATATATATATTATATAATGTGTGAGAAAGCTGTATGAACGTATAAGCCATAGATCACTAAAAACTCTATTTGACTCGGCCAGGACTCGAACCCATGCTGTCCAGGATCACCCCTAAACATACAAAGTACCGTGACCACCGCACCAAAGACGATCAGTGGTGTGGTGATCACGAAATTGTGTATGTTAAGGGGTGATCCTGGACGGCATGGGTTCGAATCATGGCCGGGTCAAATAGAGTTCTTAGTGATTATAAATATACTGTATATATAAATAAATATTACACACACATATATTATAATTTATATATATATATATATATATATATATATATATATATATATATATATATATATATACACACATACATACATACATACATATGCAAACCACAGGAAGTGATACTATTTAATTCACAAGGACCAATGGAGCTAGAAACCGGGGACCATAAAAGCTGGAGTCCATACATTAACCAACTATGCTATGAACGCCTATAATCAGGAAGGATCCCAGAGACATATAACTGGTATCCAACTGACACTAAGCTCATCCTGGGGCATCACTGAGTTATTGTGGTTTGCCATTTATATAATGTGGCTGTGAAGTCCTAAATACCCCTACCACTCGGTGGCGCACCCCAGGGAAGGCTTAAAGTCTTAGGTTCCGCTGGGATCCTTCCTTATTGTGGGCTTTCATAGTGTAGTTGGTACAGCTATTGACTCCCACTTTTATGGTCCCTGGTCTGAAGCTCCAATGGTCACATGGTTATTGATTATAATAATTACATATACTGTATATATTATATATATATATATATATATATATATATATATATATATATATATATATATATATATATATATATATATATATATATATATATATATATATATATATATATATATATATATATATATATATATATATATATATATATATATATATATATATATATATATATATATATATATATATATATATATATATATATATATATATATATATATATATATATATATATATATATATATATATATATATATATATATATATATATATATATATATATATATATATATATATATATATATATATATATATATATATATATATATATATATATATATATATATATATATATATATATATATATATATATATATATATATATATATATATATATATATATATATATATATATATATATATATATATATATATATATATATAATATGCATATATGCAGTATACAGTAACATATACTTCATGTATATGTAACACCTTCCAGGTTATATAATGGCGATATAAAGAATTGAGGAATTCATATTGCAACAAGTATACATTATGAATAATGTATAAATACTAATTACCTAACGGACAAGAACATGTTTTGTTTGAAAGTTGACATATTCAAAGTTATATGGCAAAATCAGTTTGTTCTAGAAACTATTTAAAAATAATTCACGACGAGGTGAGTGTTGCCACTGAAACAGCGGCAAATGTTTTAAAACACTAGTACTTGTTCTTTATAACGATAAAATGACAAGAAGTCCATAACTTTTGACAATAATGCAATGTAGAGATCTATTTAGAAGGGGAATACAGAGGAAATCATAAAGTGACCCGGAGTCATAAAGCAGTTACACGCTAGCACTTACGAACGTGTACATCTTTTCTCAATCTTTGACGGCTTTGGTTACATTTATTAAACAGTTTACAAGCATGAAAACTTGCCAATCAACTGTTGTTATTGTTATAAATAGCCTCATGGTGCTTCATAGCTCATTAACTGTTTAATAATTGTAAGCAAAGCTGCCAAAGATTGAAAAAAGATGTATAGGTTCGTAAGTGCTTGCGTAACTGCTTTATGAATCCGGGTCCTTGTTTTCACATATACAGTGGGAGCTTTCCTTAATTATACATCTTTGCTTCAGGTTTACATAAACGATTTTCTTCTGGAGCGTATATCAATATATTATATACATCAACAACGTAAAGATGATATATATGCAAACTAGACTTTTCATCAAAACAACATTAGAATGTAGCTATAAAATGACATCCATTCCTAACGTTTTCCAAATACAAATGCCGTGTATTTATTGCTGTGTGCGTGATCTAATAGCTAACTCAGGAGATCTTACATATATATAAAGGGCTGGGCAGAAGTCATCGCAGTGATTGGGCTGGGACCAGTGCTGAGCTCAGAGCTACAAGATGCTGCTCTACTTTATATGCTTATAACTTACTGTAGCTGCAAAGTAATTCATGGAGAAGCATTTACTAGCTGAAGACAAGTTGTTCTTACGGTAAAAAGAGGCACCATTACCTCAATCACATAATGATATATGACAGTATATAAACTGTATTATCAATGGCTTATACCCAAGTCCCACACACAATGCCATTCAATCCTTTATCTATTCATGAGTATATACTTTAGGCCAAGAGCTTTGGGATTAATGTTATTAGGAGATGAGTTTTGTGTGATACAGAAGGGTTACATTCCCAAGCAGGACGGCTCCCAGACCACTCACATCTAAAGCCTACTGCAATCAGTCGACGAGCATGAGTTTGAGTAATGATGGTGGTGGTGGTGGTGGATACAGTGATGTCTTAGGGCGTGAATATCACAGATTACAGTCTTCAGCAACCATCTTCATCCTCTTGCCATCATTTCTCAAACTTGTTCTGCGAGCAGATGAGATCTTACCACAAAATAAAATACCAAAAAAGTGATGGAATACCATCAGTATCTTAACACTGACACGACTACAGCATTGCGTACACATTAATGGTAAAATCAGAACTATATTTCAAGGCAAGAGCATGTGTTTGTCACTGTAAAAGCCTCGAGACTTGAAAATCATAATCCTTGCAAGGCAATGTAGTCTAGTCAACTCTATAGAAGATTGGAGCACCATAAACAAAGCAGATGCTCAAAGCGTACAGCCAAGAAACTCCTAAATTGAGACTAGTTAGGCAGAAGCGGCGGAAAAAAGGAGAAGATTAAAATGTACATAATAAGACGAACTGACCCATACACAGCATCACCAAGCAATGAACAACACTCACAGCTTCACCAAGCCATGAACCAGACACACAGCTTCATCAAACCACGAACCAAACTCACATCTCCACCAAGCCATGAACCAGATTCACAATTTCAAGTCATGAACCAGACCCACAACTTCATCAAGCCATGAACCAAACTTACAACTTCACCGAACTATGATCAAGACACAGCCTCACCAAACTACGAACCAAATCCACAGTGTTTCCAAGCCACGAACCAGACACAAAGCTTCACCAAGCTATAAACCAGACAGCTGCACCATGAGTCAGATGCACAGCTTCATCAAGCCATGAATCAGAAACACAGCTTCACCAAGCTATTGACCAAACACGGTTTCACCAAACTAAGAACCAAAAATATAGCTTCACCAAGCTGTGAATCAGACACAGCTTCACCACGCCAGGAACCAGACACACAGCTTCAACATTCCAGGAACCAGACACACAGCTTCACCACGCCAGGAACCAGACACACAGCTTCACCACGCCAGGAACCAGACACACAGCTTCAACATTCCAGGAACCAGACACACAGCTTCACCACGCCAGGAACCAGACACACAGCTTCAACATTCCAGGAACCAGACACACAGCTTCACCACGCAAGGAACCAGACACACAGCTTCACTACGCCAGGAACCAGACACAGCTTCACCAAGCAAGGAACCAGACACACAGCTTCACCACGCAAGGAACCAGACACACAGCTTCACCACGCAAGGAACCAGACACACAGCTTCACTATGCCAGGAACCAGACACACAGCTTCAACATTCCAGGAACCAGACACAGCTTCACCACGCCAGGAACCAGACACACAGCTTCACCACGCCAGGAACCAGACACACAGCTTCACCAAGCAAGGAACCAGACACACAGCTTCACCAAGCAAGGAACCAGACACACAGCTTCACCATGCCAGGAACTAGACACACAGCTTCAACATTCCAGGAACCAAACACACAGCTTCAACAAGCCAGGAACCACACACACACAGCTTCACCAAGCCAGGAACCAGACACACAGCTTCACCACGCCAGGAACCAGACACACAGCTTCACCACGCCAGGAACCACACACAGCTTCACCAAGCCAGGAACCAGACACACATCTTCACCAAGCCGGGAACCAGACACACAGCTTCACCAAGCCAGGAACCAGACACACAGCTTCACCAAGCCAGGAACCAGACACACAGCTTCACCAAGCCAGGAACCAGACACACAGCTTCACCAAGCCAGGAACCAGACACACAGCTTCACCAAGCCAGGAACCAGACACACAGCTTCACCAAGCCAGGAACCAGACACAGCTTCACCAAGCCAGGAACCAGACACACAGCTTCACCAAGCATCAGTAAGGTTAGACAATGCCTGACAGCTGCAGAGAGACAGTAGAGCTAGCGGAAAAATAGTGTCAATCGAAGAAAATTGTCGTTCATTAAAAATAATTTCTGTACTTGTTTATATGTAAAAACACATACTTTCATTTAGTATTTCAACTACTGTATGTTTACTTCTAAAACTGCATATGGGACATTTTCTTGTTTGCTTTTGCTAATTGTCCAACTTGCTTATTTGTCATGGGTGTCGGACTGGGGAAAAAATGACTTCCCAGGAAACACACACAAAGAAACCACGAAGTTGTTAAAAATTGTTACGTTTTAATAAGGTACAGTAATAATAGTTAAAATAATATTGTGTGTGTGTGTGCCTGGAATTGGCCAAGTTTGAACAGGCGAGACACTAGTCTCTCTCCTTCATCAGTGAATAGCAAGAGCTCTATCAGATGAAGAAGTGGGTGTAGGAGAGAGAGATGAGGGAAGAGGCAGTGTTAGAGTTGCACGCGTGCATCTGCGTGCATCTGTGTGCGTGTGTTTCATGTGAAGTTCATGCATCTACACACACAAGTTTAATGTGTAAGTTGAGAAGAGAAGAGGGGAGTCAAGGGAGTGGGAAGACAACATGAGAGGTGTGAATACTGCCAAGACTGAATCACTTGTGGCGAACAAGATTTGGTTTTCCCCATATTTCTCCAGCATTCACCTATGGGTTTTTTGTCTTATAAATGTCATTAGCACATTCGTTTCCACATAATTATATTATATACACGAGTACAAAGTCAACAGTCTTCAATATATGCAACGGAGGCTACTAAAGGCTTCAAATTCATTGTGAACCACCAAGTCAGCATCTATTTTTTTTGTTATAAACGGGGCATGCACGTGCTCCACAGAAATGGGGCTGAGTGGGACGCCAACAGCAGTGTTCCACCCAGCACCATAACCACGAGCAGAAGGGCTATACATCTACCACGACTCTCAAGGTTGTTGGGGAACACCTCCGCTGTGAACAAACAAAACAAGTATGGCTGAAATACCTCAATTTAACATTGAGATTCGTCATGAAAAACCTCCTGAAGCACTGCTGAGGCCAAAAGAGAGATTGTTATGTACGGATTAAGTTACTTTCTGTTCATTTAGTGGTTACGATGTGGGCATCTAGACAAGTCTTCAGTGTCTAGGAATAAAACATTACACAAACAGCACTTGTGAAGTGGCTTCAGACTCCTTACATTGGGCACGTGATGAACTCGTACTCAAAGGCCAGTGACAGCATCACAAAGATGAAATACAGGATGAACATCGTCATGCCAAGGCCCTTATTCATCTTCCATTTAGAACACGCGATGGAGATGATAACAAACATCAGCATGCAGAACAGCATCATGATGGAGCAACCCATCCCACCTGTAGAGGGAACAGAAGTTACAATCATGATGGAACAAACCATCCCACCGGCGGAGGGAACACAAGTCACCATTCATCAGAGACAGAGTTCACATTATTGGAAGGAAGGTTTTTAGGATAAATAATAAGGCTACTAGAAGAGTCTGAAATTATAATTGTAACTTAAATACTATCACTGAAAAGAAAAAGAAGTATTAGTTCTGGGGAAGTATTATTTTAAGAAACTAACAATATTTCTTGGGAAAACAGTAATGGATGCGGTTTGCAACATTCATTATCTAGAGGATTTGTAATCATGTTTCTCACAAGGGGTGGTCAGTAAAATGAAAATTAAATTAGATTTGAGAAAATGAATTTGGAGGAGGGAAAGGAAGGCAGGAATCTGGGAAAATAGGTTTACTGTTGGTGAAAGTACGATTATTATCATTTATGGTTATGCACAATAACCATAAAAAGGTGTAAAATAAAATGGCAACTTTAAAATGACAATGTTTATAATAATATTGCCACAAATAGGACAATAATAATACTGCATGACTATCACAGCATTGTATACAAATACAGTATTGATCCTTAACGATGACCTCTACAGTTTCTTGGATGCAAATATACCTCCAGGGAGCTGTTTTATCTCCTTATCGTCTACCAATTTACCTGATTTACTTACCTTACTATTAAGAGCATTCTTGTATTGGTTGTAAAATATGGAAACAATTGTAGCTTTATGGTGATATTAAACTTGCTAGGAATATGCCCTTGCTAGGCTCGTTGAGGTCCTTCTAGGACCACAAGTCAACTACTGATCTTCTCTAGTATGCAGCTCATAATAACTGTCTAACCAAGGTACTTATTTACTGCCAGGTGAGCAGATGCATCAGGTGAAAGGAAACATTGCCCAAATAGTTATGTCCTTCCGATGAAATCGAACCTGGGACCGTCAGTTGGGACTCGACTGCATTGTCAAATGACAGTCTGCTGTAATATCCAGTCTCTTAACGAAAAGGAATATCAAGGTTGCCTCAACCAAGAATCAAACTGCCTACCCATGTAGTCACCCATCCATTCAGTTACTGCACCAACACTGAGAGATGAATAAAACACATACAATTCGCCAGGCTGCAATAAGACTGGTCTACAGTCAAAAATGGTTCTGAAATAAACAAGGTTAATCTTTAATTTTGGGTCATAAGTCTTAAGAGATGTTTTGGTGCATAATGGGAGTGTTTTCCTATCAATTCCACTGAGGTTATACAGCCCATATGAAGCAAACTTCTGACACCATGATGCAGTTTTTGAGGTGCATACACTATGGCCATCATCAGTGGCAGATGTGTGGCGACTTGAAGATTGTTGCTCTTGTGATGGGTCCGCAGGGTGGATGATGTTGCTCTTGTGATGGGTCCGCAGGGTGGATGATGTTGCTTTTGTGATGGGTCCGCAGGGTGGATGATGTGGCTCTTATGATGGGTCTGCAGGGTGGATGTTGTTGCTCTTGTGATGGGTCCGCAGGGTGGATGATGTTGCTTTTGTGATGGGTCCGCAGGGTGGATGATGTGGCTCTTGTGATGGGTCCGCAGGGTGGATGTTGTTGCTCTTGTGATGGGTCCGCAGGATGGATGATGTTGCTTTTGTGATGGGTCCGCAGGGTGGATGATGTGGCTCTTGTGATGGGTCCGCAGGGTGGATGTTGTTGCTCTTGTGATGGGTCCGCAGGATGGATGATGTTGCTTTTGTGATGGGGCCGCAGGATGGATTTTGTTGCTCTTGTGATGGGTACGCAGGGCGGATGTTGTTACACTTGTGATGGGTCTGCAGGGTGGATGTTGTTGCTCTTGTAATGGGTCCGCAGGATGGATTTTGTTGCTCTTGTGATGGGTACGCAGGGCGGATGTTGTTACACTTGTGATGGGTCTGCAGGGTGGATGTTGTTGCTCTTGTGATGGGTCCGCAGGATGGATTTTGTTGCTCTTGTGATGGGTACGCAGGGCGGATGTTGTTGCTCTTGTGATGGGTCTGCAGGGTGGATGCTATTGCTCTTGTGATGGGTCTGCAGGGTGGATGCTATTGCTCTTGTGAGGGGTACGCAGGGTGGATGCTATTGCTCTTGTGATGGGTCTGCAGGGTGCATGCTATTGCTCTTGTGATTGGTCTGCAGGGTGGATGCTATTGCTCTTGTGATGGGTCTGCAGGGTGCATGCTATTGCTCTTGTGATTGGTCTGCAGGGTGGATGCTATTGCTCTTGTGATGGGTCCGCAGGGTAGATGTTGTTGTTCTTGTGATAAATCTGCAGGGCGGATGTTGTTGCTCTTGTGATGGGTCCGCAGACTGCCCTCTTTGGGTTTTTCGAGGTTCGGTGCTTGGCGCCTTTCCCTTCCCTTGCTCGATGTGTTCACAGATGCCTCGTCTCTCGACAGGGGTTTTGTGACTAGTGCTCACTAGGTCAGCAAGGGGTGTTGGTCTCCATCCTTCCATTGGGCTCACAGCACAGTGCGGGAGTTTGCAGCTGTGTAGCAGGCCCTGCAGCGTACTCGGTTGCCTCGGGGCTCAGTGATTCGGCTTCATTCGGACTGCTCTCCTGTGGTTCATTGTCCCAACCAGGGAGGGGTCTCTGCGGTCTGTGGCTCTTTGGGGCTGAGGCCTGAGCGCTTTGGGTAGCTCTTCTGCCGAGTTCTCGGGGTTTAACTCTCCGTGCCGTTCACATTCAGGGCATGTGTCAGACGTTCAGGCATCCGGAAGTGGACCTTTTCACGTCAGCTTGGTCTTGGCGCCTACCTTTATATCTGGCGCTGTTCCCCGATTGTGAGGCATTCGCGGTTGATACTTTCTGCCAGGACTGGTCAAGATGAGGGCTCCTGTACCTTCATTCCCTGGTCCAGCTGTTGCTTCGGGTTCTGGCACGGCTTTCCGCGAATATTTTCGGGGGAAGAGTGGTTCTCCTGGCCTTTGGTGGCCAGCCCAGCCTTGGTTTCAGACACTGCTTGCACGGTTCCAAACCTGAGGGTTTTTCCACGGTTCCGCCTCTTTCAGCAGGTCAGGCCGCTGAGGCACCTCGCTGGTTTGGCTTACTCTTCCACACATTGTGTCTGGTTTTTATGGCAGATGTATCGCCATTTATATGGTGATCAGGTGGTGTCATTGATGGTGTCACACTTGCAGTCGTCCTCTCAGCGACAGTATGAAGTCTGCAGACGAGGAGTCACAATAACGTGGCTGAAATATGTTGACCTAACCACACACTAGAAAGTGAAATACGACGACGTTTCGGTCCATCCTGGACCATTCTCAAGTCGATTGCGTGCACACAATCAACTTGAGAATGGTCCAGGACGGACTGAAACGTCGTCGTCCCTTCACTTTCTAGTGTGTGGTTTGGTCAACAGTATGAAGTCTCTTGGAGGTCCTTCTGCCATTTCCTTTTCCTTTGTGGGTTTCGTCAGTGTCGGTTCCAGTTGTTTTGTCTTTTCTTTCTTGACTTTTTCTTGACCGGCATCTCATGCCAAATACTTTCGTTCTGTTCCCCAAGCTTTCTCATGTGTTTTTTCACCTCTCTTGCTCATGCAGTGCTCGAGCCTTCTCGGGCACTGCATGAGCAAGTGCAGGATCACAGGATCACAAGTCCAGCACGCTGGACTTGGTGAGAAGAGCACTCTGACTTGAGTAACCTGAGTCCCCACACATGGGACATAGAGATACTACACTTGTGCATTTGAGGGCACCATGCCCAAATTTCTAGCACTTAATGCAAAGTCTAGGAGAGGGAATGTACTCCTGAATGGAGATTCGGGCACCCGCAAGAATTACAGAAAGCAGAAGGGTCCTACTATCAAAAGTGATCTTCACAACGCGAAGAGGCTGATGATGACCACGAGGGGGTCGAGTGAACGCATTAACCTGGAGGACAGAATGGCATTAGGCTTCAAGGATATGTTTAACATCCTCGTGGCAGTCTTTCAGGTCCCTAACACCAGTCGCAACATGGTGCGGGAGGATAACAGTGCTAATACTGGCATTTAGCAGGGCATTTTTGGAGACCCGAACAGGGGTCCTCCCCCCCCCCAATGATAGCCAATGCAGCTAAGCGGGCAGCTGCATCCTGAAAAGGAGCAGCACATGTACCAAAATGGGTGGGGTTAAAAGTGACAGAAGCATCCATTGGATCAACGAGGTGCTTATGAAGAAATCGTCAGGATGTGTAGAGTTCAGATTGTTGAGATCAAAATAATTAGTTCCTGTAGGAGGACCAAATAAGGCGTTAAACGTATTGGCACTGGAAGGGATCGTGCAAGGGCGTTGATGGTGGAGTCGGCGATGAGCACCCCCAGTGAGGGGGGGGGGGGGTGGTAAAAGGTGCAGTTGGCACAATGAGAGAATTAGCCGCTCCAGGTGATGAGGTGGTCACCACTGGGGGCTTAGGGCTCAACCCTACCACAGAGGAGGGAGGGAGGTAGTCGGGAGGGTCAATGGAGTAGCTTGGTCTGGGCTCAATGTAGTGGGGTTACAGAGCCCGGCCTTCCAACACAGTCCAACTCGGAGGCTTAGTCACCCACCCCACGAGTTTGGGAAGTTATAAGAGGATCATTCAACAGCATGGAAACGGGAAACGAGGAGGTAATAATTTCATTCACGAATGAGCCCCCATACCCACCGTGGAGCCACAATTAGATAGGACGTCCAACAAGAGACAAGCTCGGGTCCCCTTCACCACCTTAAGAACCGTCAGTCCATCAAGATTGGGTTCAGCAACAAAGGCAAGGTTGGACAATAAAAGCGTCCCTTCGCTCGCAACGTCGGGTACCGCAGTTCTATGGGTGAGAGAGTGTGCCTCCTCAAACACCCGGGCGTCAAAACAGATGATGTCCAAAACAATAATCAAGACAGGCAAAAGGTCAGCAAAAAAGACAAATTAAAAGAGAAGAGGGGGAAGGAAAACAAAACATAAGGAGGAGAAAAAAGTGACCAGCAGAACTAGTGAAGACGGCAGCAGGAGCATAAGACTTCAAAGGGACAGAGGACCGTCCCATGTAGCATCACACCCCGGCAGCCGTATATCAAGCCCCCTCACGACGGCAACGGGCTGGAAAGGGAGGGGAATGATGTGAGGAAGTATGCAGCGCTGCATACTTCCAGTATGCAGCTCTACATACGTATGCAGCCCAGAGCTGCATACTTTGTATGGCGCTCAGGGTGCCGTCTTTGGTAATATGTCTTGGGTCGATATTTGGGCATGGGGGTTTTGGAAATCGAACAAGGTTCTGACTGCCAGATATCTTGTCAACGGCCCTCTGCGGCCTTGTGTTGCTTTGGGTCATCTGTCGCAGCCAATTCTCTCATATTCGTCATGAGACCTGCAGTGCGGGCGCCTCCCAGATAAGTCCCCCCCTTTTTTTTTTTTTTACTTATCTGTGGGTAGATAGCTTCAGGGAGCTGTCAGGGCTCCCGCAGAAAACCAGCGTTGAATGTAATGAAACGCCATTTTCTGGGCGAGCCCCAGAGGCTCCCTGATTCCCGGGGGGGGGGGGGAGGCGCTAACGAGCCGACACGCTAGTTGGATGACGTGTAGCTTGTTTCATTGTTTTATACTGCGGGGCTGCGGGGAGTTCTTTGGCTCTGTTCGGATGAAGGTTGCAAATTTAACCAGCTAGAGCTTTGTAATGGTTCGCATATCTTTCTGGTGGTATTCCGGTCAATGGTAGACATAAACTCTAAATATAGAGAGCTCATGTAGCCATTTATTTTATTTATTTATTTATATATATACAAGAAGGTACATTGGGTTTGTGAGAATACATTGGATAGTACAGTATTTACATTCTTGTAAAGCCACTAGTACGCACAGCGTTTCGGGCAGGTCCTTAATCTAGCAGATAATTTTAAGTAGGTAATTTCAATCAGAATTGATAAATGATAAAGATACATTACAAGAGAAAAATTGCTCGCTTCGCAATTGCTCCCATTGCTCCCTTCGGACTAATGGCCACATGAGGGGGGACAGGTTCTGGCTCGTGGCCCCCCAGGTAGGCACTTGAACTCCAAGGACTTAATAGCACCAAACTAATATGGCACATGTCATTTGGTAGCTTCAGGGAGCCATTGGGGCTCACCCAAAAAACGACATTTCATTACATTCCACGCTGGTTTTTTAACATTCTGCCATACCTATTGGTCTTGTAAAGAATTATTTCCATGTGTTGATTTAAAACTAGTCCCGCTGATATTTTCAAAGTGCAATTGATTACATATATCTCACCTGTACTCCAAAGAGTACACTTTGAAAGATTTTAAGCAGTCCCAATTATTTCAGATATTTTAGTGAATGGATTCATGCAGTAAACATTCTCTGCTCATTCCCCAGTTCAGCAACTTCTCCATCTTTTCTCTCAATTTTCACCTCTTTATCTTCAGAATTAATTCTTCAGTTTTCTTTATTTCTATTAACTCGTATGGTATGCTTTTTAGCGTGTTGTCTTTCATCTCGGACAACCCTGTTGTTTGAGATGGTAAGGACGGTCCTAACCAACAGGGTAAGGACCCTAGCTGTTACCTTATGATAACAGGGTCCTCATGATAACATGTTACCTTATGATAACAGGGTCCTCATGATAACATGTTACCTTATGATAACAGGGTTATGAGGGTCCTGGTAGTACAGTCGGGTTCGTTCTCGACTCACAATCGAGAATTCCGGGTTCGAATCCCAGGCAGAACAGAAATGGTTGGGCACATTTCCTTTCACGTAGCAGTAAGTAGGTAATCAGGGGTTAGTCAGCTTATTGTGGAGTTGCATCCTGGGCGGGGTCAGTAATTTGACCTTGAGGGGAGGGGGACCTCAATATAAGCCTAATGTGTGTATGAATACACTCTGGCTGCCTGTCCCCCAAACACAATGAATGATTAATTATTATATATATTGACTCTCTACCACTCTCTATACATGACTTGATAATGGTCCAGGATGGACCGAAACGTCGTCACTTCCTATATATTGGGCGTCTTAAAATCATCCCTAGGCACTAATGAAACATGTTACCAAGATAATAGCTGCACACACTTCCATGTAATGATCATCTTGAGGTTATCTTGAGGTTATCTTGAGATAATTTCAGGGCTTAGTGTCCCCGCAACTATGGTTGTGGGCTGCATCTTGGGGAAGATCTGTAGTTGGCTCTAGGGGGACCTCTACATGCCTAAGTACAGGTTTCCTGTTTCCGACAATGGGAAACAATGCTACCTGGGTTCTCCTTACCTGAGTTGACGAGGATAGGTTCAATACTAGTTGGGTTCTCTTTATTGTTGATGATGTTCTCAATCAGCTGCGCGAGGGCGAAGAGCAGCCAGGGGATGGGCAGCCTGAAAGATACAAGGTAGATTAGCCTAGACTTAAGAGGGATGTGATGATGTTAGGTGCCATCTTGACCCGTTTCTATACTTATCTTAAACTCCTGTCTCTCGTTCTCTAGCATCCACGGGATTGCTCTGCTCACTTCAGAAGGATTCACAATAACACGTCCATGTCCTCTACGAGATCACACAACTCAAAATTATTACCTTCTCCACTCAAAATAACCTCTCCGCTCAAATAATACATTATATGTTTGAAGTCTAAATCCCCGACGGACAAAATAAGGGATATTGTGAGTCCTAGCAGCTCACACACAAACACGTTTTCTATGTGTAGGTCGATAGGTTAGGTTCTTGTGTTTTAGTACCCTATATTTTGTCCGTTGTGGCAAGTCAAGTGGCCAGGCTGTAGAATTAAGGAGGACCTAGCATTTTGGAGCTCACAAACTGTAGTAAATTCCAACAGTGTAGACTAGTTTTCCTTTACGAGTTTACTTTGTGTTGACTAGTATACCTGCAGTGTAGAAAAGTTTATAAAACTACCAACTGTGCAGACTAGTTTAACTACACTGTAGACTACCTAACCCATAGTGTTGACTAAGTAATAATCAAAAGCACCAAACCGGGAAGGCTATGTAGCACCATTAAATGTGCGGGATAATCAGAGGGTGCTAGATATCACTAAGTATGCCAATACGAGAACAAAAACACATAATGCAAACAATATCAAAGGTGGCCAATTCACCAAGAATTCTATCAAGGGACAAGTGACCACGAGGGACAGTCGGGAAGCAAGACACACATTCGTCCTTGAAGTCAGGACATTCAACAAAGATATGCATGACCGTAAGAGGGACAATGCAGTTTGGACAATAAGGAGCAGGGCGGCGCTCTATTAAGTGTCCGTGAGTTAAGCGTGTATGGCCAATACACAACCTTGCCAGAGCCGTTTCCCACTGCCGGTTACAGTGGGAAACGGACAACCAACAACGCTGCCAACGGGCAAGGATGGAGGAATGAATAACTGGGTAAAAGTCAGAATAAGGAATACCTTTACGTGAGATGCGACAAGTGTCAATACTCAAATTGTATGACGGTTGGGATATAACCAAGCACAATCGAGTAGGTCTCTGACATCATTCTCTACAGAGCTGGAAGTGACCGCTCTGGAGGCAAGGGCAGTATTCTCACAAGCCCAGAGTAGGTAGGAACTCGGCAGGCCATAACTATACACTGTTACCTTACTCAATACACTGCTGAAGTGATCTACTGTGTATTTTCTACAATCCAGCAAGAACCATACATCCAAGGTAACGAATGCAAGCGTGGATAGCTTCCTAAGCGGCAGTGTCCGCACGCTCATTTAAAGACAAACCAATATGGCTGGGAACCCAACAAAACTCCACTGTCTTAAAACTACTGGAGATAAGAAACAGCCAATGTTGAATCTTGACCACCACCGGATAGACTGGACTAAAGGACACCAGAGCCATGAGGGTACTACGAAAGTCAACTACAACTAAAAAGGAGGATTGACAGCGAGAAAGCAGTTGACGAAGAACATATAGAATAGCATAAAGTTCTGCCATGAAGATGCTAGTCTCCGGAGACGGCCGACACAAATAGGTGTGGTCAGTAAAAAACAACAGAGTAGCCTATACTGTCTGCAGACTTAGACCCATCGATGTAGACGGAAATTGAGCGGGAGTGTGAAGAAAAGTGTTCAAGGAAAAGGCATTTCAGAACCACAGGATGGGTAAAAGCTTTAGTCACGTGGGTCAAGGTTTTACAAAATTTAGGAATAGAACAAGGAATAGAGCAGAGGACAGTGTCAAATATGGTATAACGAAAAGGGAGGAGGGCTTGAGGGAGAGGCAAAGCCGGAGAGGTCAGATAGAGTAGCATGGAGGGAGAATAGATTCCAAACAGCCTTGGCAAACCGCCACCTAGGAAAAGAGAGAGGAGGGTGTAAAGAGAAAAAGGAGACAACAATGGGGAAATAGTCACTGTTATGGAGGTCATCAAGAACTCGCCATGTGAAATCTAAGTAAAGAGAAGACGAGCAGAGAGAAAGATCAAGACAGGAGAGGGTGCGAGTGTGGGAGTCCACATGAGTGGGTTCACCAGAATTCAGAAGAGGCAGAGAAGAAGAGAGGACAAATGGTTCGAGAAGGCAGCCCTGGGTGTTTGTCAGAGCATCACCCCAGAGGGTATGCCGACAGTTGAAATCACCCAACAAGTGATTTCTGGTATGGAATCCATCAGGTGCTTAAGATCAGGAAGAGAAAGCGGGACATTTGGGGGGAGATAAAGGGAACAGACCGTATACCATTTACTCACAAAGATATGGGCTGCAGAACATTGGAGAGGCGATGGAAAAAGTAGGGAGACGAAGGGAATATCAGTACGAATCAAGAGAGCCGTAAAATTAAGAGCCCGAACAGAAGCTGGAGGGGAAGGAGAGAAAGGAATAACCACGAAAGTGACCAGGACGAGCACCAATCACTGAGTCCTGGAGACAGACACAAAGTGGTGAGAACTGTGTTATCAGACGTTGGAGTTCATGGAAGTTGGCATAACATTCACGAATATTCCATTGAAGAATAGACATTATCCAAAGGAGGAAGAACAACAATAGAGAACAATGAAGAAACAAAGGTAAAAAAGAACATAGTATACTAAAGTAGGTCATGACCAGGATCCGTGATATCAAGGTTAGGGGGGTATAGGTAAATTGAGCAAAGACGATGGAGGTGAGGGAGTGGAAGGACAGACAGGGTTTAGAGTTGAAGGAGGAAACGCAGATGAGCAGTCAAAGGAATCGGGTGGAAGAGGGGCAGAAACAAGGAAGGGCACCGCAGTAAGGGCAGCAACCGAGAGAGCATCAGGGGCTAAAGGAAACACCATAGTCGGGACAGTGGGTTCGACCACCGAAATGGGACGGGATGCAGTGTTACAGTCCGAGTCAGAGGGTGGGGGAAGTAAGCGACGCCTTCTTACCTGCCAGGGAGGAAGAAGGAGAGGAGCCAGGCTTACGCTTCTGCCTTAAGGAGACAGGTGCACCAGCAACAACGTACTGGGTGACAGTCTTCATAGTCTCAACGGAAGCAGGAGAACGGGAGTGTTACGACCCTGGGTTCTCCAGTGGAAACCAGAGGTCAAAATTGAGCTATTAAACTTTCTGATAGTACAGTTGAGTGCATCACGAGCGACAATTGTTTGTATCTTCCCTGCCAGACGTAAGACTATTCTTGTTTCTCAAAGAGCATTTAAAGACTGAGCTGGGGGGTTGATTATTAAATAATAACATAGGCACCAACTTTGCTTACTAATACTTTCTAATCATTTGTAAAGTAACAATACATTGCATAGGGGAAGATCTTTAATGTGCTTAGCTGCACGATCAATTAGGCTCCTTCCGGCACCACGACATGAGGGAGGCCTAGCTGGTCGCTAGGAGCTTTCTTCTCTGGCTGGCGTTCGTGGGCACGAGACCTACTCTGTGGCTGCATCCCTACTCTCCTCCCTTCTCCTCTTACTTATTTCCCTTACCTTAAGTTCCTGTACCATTAAGTTAAGTATTGTAGGATTTCTAAGTGTACCTACTCTGGTAGTAACGATTGGTGAGACCTGGGGGTAGTAGTTGCCAGTGTTTTGGGTAACCCTAAGTGTTGTGTTTTGTATTAGGGTCCCACATGGTCTCACTACCCTAAGCTGCATCCAGCTTCAGTGCTTATCCAGTAGTACTTTACCCTAGCTTGTTATTAGTGTAAACCTTGTATCCTGCCTATGTGGACCAAGGCTTTTAACGTAAGGTAGTGTGGTAAAGTTATTATTATTATTGTTATTGGTGTGAGTGTATGGGGGGTTGTTAAGGGGTTAATAAATAAGTACATGAATTACAGAGTATCTCTTCTTCCTGTGTGGGAGTGCATTGATCAACCCTTAGACTGACATATATGGTCTAGTAGCAAGGTATTATTACTGTGGATAGTTTATTTTGGGGGCCGGGCCTTTTAGCTCTCCCATATTTGATACTCTGTCTTCTAACTACCCTTACCCCTTAATAATACCAGATTCCCCATAGAAGCCCCACACACATATTATTTATAACAGGGAGCAAGCAACAAGAAAATTGCTGGGAGGAGGACTGACAACAGCCTGGACAGACAGGCGGTGTGGAGAGTTAAGGGGCCGGGGGTAGGCCTGGTAAGAAGGATCTGGGGAAGAAGGATCTTTCACCCTGATGCTCCTGTTACCAAGCAGTAAATAGATACCTGGGAGTTAGACAGCTGCTACGGGGTGCTTCCAGGGGGAAGGGGGGAACAAAAAAGGAGGCCTGGTCGAGGGCCGGGCCGAGGGGAAGTTAAGCCCCAAAATCATCTCAAGATAACCTCAAAATATTGCCTCAGGAAAAGACAAACAATTACATTGCTTCAAATTGAGGATGGTTTCCTCAAATTAGTAGTGTATACACTTCATGGCAATTGAGGCAGCGAGCCTGGGGAGAGGAGCACTCGGCTTTAGAGTGATCCGAGTCCCCCACACATGGGGAATAGAGATACCACACTTGTGCATTTGAGGGCACCATGCCCAAATTTCTAGCACTTATTGCAAAACCTAGGAGAGGGAATGTACTCCTGAACGGGAGCATCTGGCACCAGCAATAATTACAGAAGGCAGAAGGGTCCTGCTATCGAAAGTGATCTTCACAACTCAAAGAAGCTGGCGATGACGACCACGAGGGGGTCGAGTGAACGTATCAACGCGGAGGACAGAATGGCCCCGAGCTTCAAGGATATGTTTAACATTCTAATGACAGTCTTTCAGGTCCCTAACATCAGCTGCAACATGGATGTGGGAGGAGAACAGTGCCAACACTGGCATTTAACCGAGCGTTTTTGGAGACCCGAACAGGGGTCTCCCCAAAGCAGAACAATGCGGCTAAGCGGGAAGCTGCAGCCTGAGAAAGAGCAGCGACAACATGCGTACCGAGACGGGTGGGGTTAAAAGTAACAGAGGCATCTACTGAATCAACGAGTTGTTTATAGAGGAAGAAATCGTCAGGAACTGTAGAATCTAGATAGTTAAGATCATAGTATTTAGTCCACGTAGCAAGACCAAACAAGGCATGGTACGTATCCCATAACCCATGTCTGTTATTTTTAAACAATGCTGTTTGTCGACCAAATTATATTTGTGCTGTTTTCCTGCCATGTTCCCCCCTTTTTTATTTTTATATTTTTCTCAACACATTTTATATTTTAATCTCAATTAGTATTAAGTTTTAGTCTTTAGTGTTTTTCCTGCCCCAAATGCTTTGCGTAATAGTGGCTTTAGGCATTGTATGTACTAGCTCTATCTATAAATTCATCAAAATCTGTATCACCCCTTGTATGTATGTTACTTTACCGAAATAAACATTTGATTTGATTTGACGTATCAGTACGGGAAGGAATCATGCAAGTGCAGCCGTGGTGGGATCGGAGTTGAGAACCCCGAGAGAGAGAGAGAGAGAGCGAGAGCGAGAGAGAGAGAGAGAGAGAGAGAGAGAGAGAGAGAGAGAGAGAGAGAGAGAGAGAGAGAGAGAGAGAGAGAGAGAGCGAGAGCGAGAGAGAGAGAGAGAGAGAGAGAGAGAGTGAGTGAGTGCGAGTGTGTGAGAGTGTGAGTGAGAGAGAGAGAGAGAGAGAGAGAGAGAGAGAGAGAGAGAGAGAGAGAGAGAGAGAGAGAGAGAGAGAGAGAGAGAGAGAGAGCGAGAGCGAGAGAGAGAGAGAGAGAGAGAGAGAGAGAGTGAGTGAGTGCGAGTGTGTGAGAGTGTGAGTGAGAGAGAGAGAGAGAGAGAGAGAGAGAGAGAGAGAGAGAGAGAGAGAGAGAGAGAGAGAGAGAGAGAGAGAGAGAGAGAGAGAGAGAGAGAGAGAGAGAGTGTGTGTGTGTGTGTGTGTACTCACCTATTTGTGCTTGCGGGGGTTGAGCTTTGGCTCTTTGGTCCCGCCTCTAGGAGGGGGTGAGTGTGTGTGTGTGTGTGTGTGTGTGTGTGTGTGTGTGTGTGTGTGTGTGTGTGTACACTCACCTAGTTATACTCACCTAGTTGTGCCTGCGGGGGTTGTGCTCTGGCTCTTTGGTCCCGCCTCTCAACCGTCAATCAACAGGTGTACAGGTTCCTGAGCCTATTGGGCTCTATCATATCTACACTTGAAACTGTTTATGGAGTCAGCCTCCACCACATTACTTCCTAATGCATTCCATTTGTCAACCACTCTGACACTAAAAAAGTTCTTTCTAATATCTCTGTGGCTCATTTGGGCACTCAGTTTCCACCTGTGTCCCCTAGTGCGTGTGCCCCTTGTGTTAAATAGCCTGTCTTTATCAACCCTGTCGATTCCCTTGAGTGTCGATCTTGAATGTGGTGATCATGTCCCCCCTAACTCTTCTGTCTTCCAACGAAGTGAGGTTTAATTCCCGTAGTCTCTCCTCGTAGCTCATACCTCTCAGCTCGGGTACTAGTCTGGTGGCAAACCTTTGAACCTTTTCCAGTTTAGTCTTATGCTTGACTAGATATGGACTCCATGCTGGAGCCGCATACTCCAGGATTGGTCTGACATATGTGGTATATAATGTTCTGAAAGATTCCTTTCACAAGTTTCTAAAGGCCGTTCTTATGTTAGCCAACCTGGCATATGCTGATGTTATCCTCTTGATATGAGCTTCAGGGGACAGGTCTGGCGTGATATCAACCCCCAGGTCTTTCTCTCTCTCTGACTCTTGAAGTATCTCATCTCCCAAATGATACCTTGTATCTGGTCTCCTGCTTCCTACCCCTATCTTCATTACATTACATTTGCTTGGGTTAAACTCTAACAGTCATTTGTTCGACAATTCCTGCAGCTTGTCCAGGTCTTCTTGAAGCCTCAAGCTGTCCTCCTCTGTCTTAATCCTTCTCATAATTTTGGCGTCGTCAGCAAACATTAAGAGGAATGAGTCTATACCCTCTAGGAGATCATTTACGTATATCAGAAACAGGATAGGTCCAAGCACAGAACCCTGTGGGACTCCACTGGTGACTTCATGCCATTCTGAGGTCTCACCCCTCACTGTAACTCTCTGCTTCCTATTGCTTAGGTACTCTCTTATCCACTGGAGCGCCCTACCAGTTACTCCTGCCTGTTTCTCCAGCTTATGCATCAACCTTTTATGGGGTACTGTGTCAAAGTCTTTCCGACAGTCCAAAAAAATGCAGTCCGCCCAGCCTTCTCTTTCTTGCTTAATCTTTGTCACCTGATCGTAGAATTCTATCAAGCCTGTAAGGCAAGATTTACCCTCCCTGAACCCATGTTGATGGGTTGTCACGAAGTCTCTTCTCTCCAGATGTGTTACTAGGTTTTTTCTCACAATCTTCTCCATCACCTTGCATGGTATACAAGTTAAGGACACTGGCCTGTAGTTCAGTGCCTCTTGTCTGTCACCCTTTTTGTATATTGGTACTACATTAGCAGTCTTCCATATTTCTAGTAGGTCTCCCGTTACCAGTGACCTACTATACACTACGGAGAGTGGCAAGCAAAGTGCTCCTGCACACTCTTTCAATACCCATGGTGAGATTCCGTCCGGCCCAACAGCTTTTCTCACATCCAGCTCCAATAGGAGCTTCTTGACCTCATCTCTTGTAATTTCGAACCTTTCCAAGGTCACCTGGTTTGCTGCCACCTCTTCTAGCGCCGTGACTTCTCCCTGTTCTATTGTAAAAACCTCCTGGAACCTTTTGTTGAGTTCTTCACACACCTCTTTGTCATTCTCTGTGTACCTGTCCTCGCCCACCCTAAGTTTCATCACCTGTTCCTTCACTGTTGTCTTCCTCCTGATGTGACTGTGTAGTAGCTTTGGTTCGGTCTTGGCTTTATTAGCTATATCATTTTCATACCTTTTCTCAGCTGCTCTTCTCACACTAACATACTCGTTCCTGGTTCTCTGGTATCTCTCTCTACTTTCTGGTGTTCTGTTATTACGGAAGTTCCTCCATGCCCTTTTGTTCAGCTCCTTTGCTTTCATACATTCCCTATTAAACCACGGATTCTTCCTTTGCTTCTCTGTTTTTTCCTGTCGGGCTGGGACAAACCTGCTTACAGCCTCCTGACATTTTTGGGTGACATAGTCCATCATGTCTTGTACGGACTTGGTTCCGAGTTCTGTGTCCCAATGTATATCCCATAGGAATTTATTCATCTCCTCATAGTTTCCCTTTCGGTACGCCAGCCCTTTGTTTCCCAGTTTTTTTTGGGGGAGATAATTCCCAGCTCAACCAGGTACTCAAAGCTTAATACACTATGATCACTCATTCCCAAGGGGGCTTCCAACTTAACTTCCCTTATATCACACTCATTTAGGGTAAATATCAGATCAAGCAAGGCTGGTTCATCCCCTCCTCTCATTCTTGTCGGTCCCTTGACGTGTTGACTTAGAAAGTTTCTTGTTGCCACATCCAGCAGCTTAGCTCTCCATGTGGGTCTCTGTTCCCCCAATCTATCTTCCCATGGTTGAAGTCTCTCATGATTAGTAGTCTGGATCCGTTCCTGCTAGCCACAGAAGCTTCTCTCTCTATTATATTGATGGCGGCCAAGTTGTTTCTATCATATTCCTGTCTGGGTCTTCTGTCATTTGGTGGGGGGTTATATATGACTACTACTATAATTTTCTGTCTTCCAGTTGCTATGGTGCCTGATATGTAGTCACTGAAACCTTCACAGTTCTGAATTACCATCTCTTCGAAACTCCAACCTTCTCTTAGTAGCAAAGCTACACCACCTCCTCCTCTCCCTTCTCTCTCTTTCCTCACTACATAGTAGCCCTGTGGAAACACTGCATTTGTTATAGTTTTCGTTAGCTTTGTTTCTGTGAGTGCTATTATGTCTGGGTTTTCTTCTAGTGCCCATTCTCCGAGTTCACTTGTTTTATTTGTAACCCCATCTATGTTAGTGTACATTGCCTTGAAGCTCACTTTCTTGTGTGTGTGTGTGTGTGTAAAGGCTGCAGTAGTCACAATGAGAGACGGAGTGGTCACCTCTGGGGCTTGGGGCTCGACGCTACTGCAGTGGAGGGAGGGGAGCGTGGGGAGGGGGGTGGGGGGAAGAGTAATCTGGTCTCGGCCCAATTTAGCGAGGGGCTGCAGAGCCCGGTCTTCCATCACAGTCCGACTTAGGGGCCTGGTCGCTCACCGCATGAGCCTGGGTAATAGAGGTCGTATCGGTTTCCATAAAGCAATCATGTTAAAAAGTCTGGGACCTGGAACCAAGGGATACCACCTACCAGGGCAGCCAGGGAGGCCGCGCGCGGGCCAGTGCAGGAAGGGGTGCATCGTCCCCAGTGGTGCTCCCCCTTCTTAATAGGGGAGTCCTGCTGCTTCGTACATTCTCCCACACTGGTGCAAAGACCTCATTCTTCCTTTCGCCCCAGCCTGGACACCCAGCCATCCACTTAGGGCAGCCCCTCGCGGGCGACCCCTCCAGCAGGTGGTGCGGTGACTCACAAGGACCCTACATGGTGCCCTTCAGCATGTTCAACACCCAAAGTGGGGCAGGAGTGGGCGAAGGCCACCCTCACTGGTCCCTGGAAGATGTACATGAGCCCTTCACCACTGAAGACGACACCACTGAGGGGGCAGTGTTGACTAGTTTACTTACATTGTAGACTAGTTTACCTGCAGTGTAGACTAGTTTACCCACAGTGCCCCACACATTACGTACAACAGCATGCACCATAACACTGGCTTTTACTTGCTGTTGGTCTATTGGTGTTATTTTTCTCGAGAGAGAGTGTGTCAAGATTTTGTCAGGAGTGTGTGTCGAGTGTGTCAAGACACACTTGACACACTTCTTCTAGTGTGTGCCAAGTGTGTACTCACCTAGTTGTGCTAGCCGGGGTTGAGCTCTGGCTTCGCTCCGACCAGATGAGACAATAAGAGAATTACCAAGGATAAAGAACCTACCCGCAGGTGACGTCGAAGAGGTTGCTGCCGACGGAGGACGAGACGGCCATGTCGCCGAAGCCCTTCCTGGCCACGATGACGGAGGTGATGAGGTCCGGGACGGAGGTTCCCGCAGCCAGGATGGTCAGACCCATCACCTGCAACACTCACACTCTTAACTTGCTGTTAGTATGACCTTAACATGGCAGCAACACTCACAGTGTCAGTGTAGGTCCCTGCAACACTCACAGTGTCAGTGTAGGTCCCTGCAACACTCACAGTGTCAGTGTAGGTCCCTGCAACACTCACAGTGTCAGTGTAGGTCCCTGCAACACTCACAGTGTCAGTGTAGGTCCCTGCAACACTCACAGTGTCAGTGTAGGTCCCTACAGCACTCACAGTGTCACCCTACAAAGTCAGGTGAGGCCAGCCCTCGTGTCTGGCCTCCAGCAGCTGACAGACATTATCTCTTTCACACACATCAAGAGCCTCACTGGTGACCAATGCTGTGATTAATGACACTAACATAATGAATATATAATTATGTAAACAACACAATGTTCCGAGTTAATCAAGTCATCAATACCCCAGTTATTATCAACACATTTTAAAATCAGGCCATTGAGGTGGATGCAAGCCAAGCACGCCCTTCCTCGGTGACGTGCAAGGCACGAGTGATGCCCCTCGAGCAATACCAGGTCGTGCTCGGCGATGTTGCTCTCGCTAGCATGCCTGTGGGGTAATCCTGGCAGGCAGTAATGTGCTTTTTAATTGGGAATATTTATTTTGTATTTTTTATTACTTCAAATAGTGGACTGTATTTAAGATTAGCCTGTCAGATTTGACCAAATCACGTAGTGAGGGGGGGGGGGGGGGTTGGTAAATGTACACAGCTTATCACACAATTGGTGGTGATAAATAAGCCATATACATTTACTGTTAATAAATATGCATAGTTTATACCACATATGGCGGTACAAACAGGCTACAGTATAAGGTTAGTACTACACAATATTATTGTAAACATGTGTTAGTATACACATGAACTCTTAGCTGTGTGTGTTAATGATGGTAACAGAGTCCAGTTCATGTAGTCTCCATCTCATGTTGGCCTCCGAATGCATGATAGAGTTGATGAGAAAGCCAAAGAATCTGCATTTTAAGGAGACATTGAGTATAACCTTGGATTGTCAATGATTAGTCTGAGAGCAGCAGTACACCGAGAACTTCAACAAGATCTTGTAGGTCTGAGGCAAAGTGAAATTGACACCAGTAATTCCATCTATCATCATACTATCATGCAAGAGGAGCCACACATCTATTGTTCGTCCAATAAAATCAGCAGACTTCTAGATGTTACTACTGCTCAGCTTAGACTCGGTTACAAGTATCTCTGGGAATGCTCATTATCTGCTGATGTAGACCAAATGTAAACTGTGTCAACAAAATTATTCGCACACCCTCCGTCACTATGTGATGGAGTGCGAAAAGATACGTGAATTTAGAGACAATTCTATAATCAATATTCCAAAAATGTGTAAATATTTCATTCAAAATGATCTGCTGCCAGAAATCTTAGCCAAATATCCCCAGTTTGGTAACTGTAGGTAGTAACTAAGTGACTGTAATCTATCCACCGCTGGCCACTGGATGGGGGGCGGTGTGCAGGACAAACATATCAATTGTGACACTAGCTCTCCACATGTCAGTTGCTTAATTTAGAACCTGTACTTGAGGTCGATCTCGAACCCATTGTTGATGTGACGATATGTATGGAATTTTGTAACTAGTTCATCAAGATTGTAACTTGCTTAGCTAAATGAATTGTGGGGTTCAGTCCCTGAGCCCATTATGTGCCTCTGTAACCCTTTCCACTACCGCCCACAAGATGGGTATGGGGTGCATAATAAATGAACTAAACTAACTGCATGTAGTTATGGCCTGAATTGGCAGTGTGAGAGCTGTTTCTTTAACATTATATTAGGGTGTGGCACATATGGTCCAGGGTGTGGCACATGTGGTCCAAGGTGTGGCACATATAGTCCAGGGTGTGGCACATATGGTCCAGGGTGTGGTACATATGGTCCCGGGTGTGGCACATATGGTCCCGGGTGTGGCACATATGGTCCAGGGTGTGGCACATATGGTCCGGGGTGTGGCACATATGGTCCAGGGTGTGGCACATATGGTCCAGGGTGTGGCACATATGGTCCAGGGTGTGGCACATGTGGTCCAGGGTGTGGCACATGTGGTCCAGGGTGTGGCACATGTGGTCCAGGGTGTGGCACATGTGGTCCAGGGTGTGGCACATGTGGTCCAGGGTGTGGCACATGTGGTCCAGGGTGTGGCACATGTGGTCCAGGGTGTGGCACATGTGGTCCAGGGTGTGGCACATGTGGTCCAGGGTGTGGCACATGTGGTCCAGGGTGTGGCACATGTGGTCCAGGGTGTGGCACATGTGGTCCAGGGTGTGGCACATGTGGTCCAGGGTGTGGCACATGTGGTCCAGGGTGTGGCACATATGGTCCAGGGTGTGGCACATATGGTTCAGGGTGTGGCACATATGGTCCAGGATGTGGCACATATGGTCCAGGATGTGGCACATATGGTCCAGGGTGTGGCACATATGGTTCAGGGTGTGGCACATATGGTCCAGGGTGTGGCACATATGGTTCAGGGTGTGGCACATATGGTCCAGGATGTGGCACATATGGTCCAGGGTGTGGCACATATGGTCCAGGGTGTGGCACATATGGTCCAGGGTGTGGCACATATGGTCCAGGGTGTGGCACATATAGTCCAGGGTGTGGCACATATGGTCCAGGGTGTGGCACATATGGTCCAGGGTGTGGCACATATGGCCCAGGGTGTGGCACATATGGTCCAGGGTGTGGCACATATAGTCCAGGGTGTGGCACATATGGTCCAGGGTGTGGCACATATGGTTCAGGGTGTGGCACATATGGTCCAGGGTGTGGCACATATGGTCCAGGGTGTGGCACATATGGTCCAGGGTGTGGCACATATGGTCCAGGGTGCGGCAGGTAATAGTGTGTGTTGGGGCAGCAAGATCATGCATGGAAGCATCACATGTAGGTAAAGCTCTCAGTAACTTCTCCCCCTTGAGCCACATCTCTGAATAAGATAACAGAGTACTAATTGCATCCACAAATGTCTTATATAACAAGGAAACGTTTTCTTATCAGTGAACCCAACTTACCCCGTTCTGGGTGTCTCTGGCATATCATTACCGGCAAATTCTGTACTACACTCATGTACACAATTTGTTTTACCGGGTACAATACTTCCCAAGGTTAGCGAGATCAACGGTTGGTCGGAAACTTTGTGGTTCCTTTGTCGAAGCTCGTGGGAAGTGTATGAGTTCTGTTGTGACAATTTGAGAGGGAGCTGCTCTCCGTCTTGTCTGGTTTGTTTACAAGTCGTGTCTGCCAGCTCCCTCTGCTCCGAGAGCGTCTCTCCAGCGTTGGTTCTATGGCCAGCTTTATTTGACATTAGGAAGCTAAGCTTTAGTTTTATTGTATATTTCATTATCATCTTTATCATCGGTAACTACAACATAGGCGCTCAACCATCAATATGTTGGCTCCATATGGCTCCTGGCCCATACAATGCAGGGGCTCCTGGTCCATACAATGTAGGGGCTCCTGGCCCATACAATGTAGGGGCTCCTGGCCCATACAATGTAGGGGCTCCTGGTCCATACAATGCAGGGACTCTTGACCCATACAACGCAGGTGTTGTTATAAACCAATCCCGGTGAGCGGGAACTCACCTCCGGCGGGATGTTGATGACCTCACCCACCAGGGACGCCCACCACACCATCAGGTAGGAGAAGGCTGCAATCCAAATTATGCTCCCAAAGAAGGTGATGAAGAAGAAGCGCTTTCCTGTGGAACAGTGTGGCTATGTTAGTACGGTACAGTGGTACACTGGAGGGTACAGTGGTACACTGGAGGGTACAGTGGTACACTGGAGGGTACAGTGGTACACTGGAGGGTACAGTGGTACACTGGAGGGTACAGTGGTACACTGGAGGGTACAGTGGTACACTGGAGGGTACAGTGGTACACTGGAGGGTACAGTGGTACACTGGAGGGTACAGTGGTACACTGGAGGGTACAGTGGTACACTGGAGGGTACAGTGGTACACTGGAGGGTACAGTGGTACACTGGAGGGTACAGTAGTACACTGGAGGGTACAGTAGTACACTGGAGGGTACAGTGGTACACTGGAGGGTACAATGGTACACTGGAGGGTACAATGGTACACTGGAGGGTACAGTTCACTAGGGTACAGGTGGGGGGTAGTAAAAGGTCAGTACACAGGGTGGTAGATGAAAAAAAACCAGCTTCCAAGGAGCCAGGTGGGGGCAAATACCACTAAATGAGAAGTTACAGTATTCAGAGTGACGAAGAGACATGGTGGATTCACAGATAATGACAGGGAAGTATGTGAGCACTAAATTACGGTTGTTAGCAATGATTTATAAACGAGACTGAGCCTCGTAGCAGTTGGGCACTTACAGACAGACTGATAATTGTAGACTACGGCGCCATGACTGAGTATGAGTAAGTGGTTCATGACCCCTGACCTGGGTAGGCTAGCAGAGTAGAGGAGGCTGGCACTCACCTCTGGGGGTCCTGAAGGAGGCTGGCACTCACCTCTGGGGGTCCTGGAGGAGGCTGGGGGGACTCACCTCTGGGGGTCCTGGAGCCTGGCACTCACCTCTGGGGGTCCTGGAGGAGCCTGGCACTCACCTCTGGGGGTCCAGGAGGAGCCTGGGACTCACCTCTGGGGGTCCTGGAGGAGCCTGGGACTCACCTCTCGGGGTCCTGGAGGAGCCTGGGACTCACCTCTGGGGGTCCTGGAGGAGCCTGGGACTCACCTCTGGGGGTCCTGGAGGAGCCTGGGACTCACCTCTCGGGGTCCTGGAGCCTGGCACTCACCTCTGGGGGTCCTGGAGGAGCCTGGGACTCACCTCTGGGGGTCCTGGAGGAGCCTGGGACTCACCTCTCGGGGTCCTGGAGGAGCCTGGGACTCACCTCTGGGGGTCCTGGAGGAGCCTGGCACTCACCTCTGGGGGTCCTGGAGGAGCCTGGGACTCACCTCTGGGGGTCCTGGAGCCTGGCACTCACCTCTGGGGGTCCTGGAGGAGCCTGGCACTCACCTCTGGGGGTCCTGGAGGAGCCTGGCACTCACCTCTGGGGGTCCTGGAGGAGCCTGGGACTCACCTCTGGGGGTCCTGGAGGAGGCTGGGGTCTCACCTCTGGGGGTCCTGGAGGAGCCTGGGGGTCTCACCTCTGGGGGTCCTGGAGGAGCCTGGGGGTCTCACCTCTGGGGGTCCTGGAGGAGGCTGGGACTCACCTCTGGGGGTCCTGGTGTCTGGGACTCACCTCTGGGGGTCCTGGTGTCCGGCAGGGTGATCCACAGAGGGATGATGAGCGGCGCCACGATGATATAAGTGATGCGTTTCCTGCAGGTGTCTGGCCAGCGCAGGTCGATGGGCTTGGGCGCGTCCTCGTCGTCAGCGTCGCCCTGCAGGAGGAGGCGCAACTCACCGCATTAGTCGACGACAACCTCCCCAGTTCTCCCGCCACGCGGCTCCGCGCCCTCCCCAACGCTAACTCTGGGAGGGCTTACTCTCCCTTCTGGCTAAGATATGCGGTGCTGAAGAACTCCCTAATATATTACACCACTCAAAGACGTTACACAAGACTCTTCTACACTTGGCTGGGCTACAGATCTCTCATTTTCTAAGTTACTCTACGAACTGCTCTCAAAACTATGTTTATTAATGTGTGTCGGATGGCCTTAAGACCAAGAGGAAACTCAGTTGTATTACATGACAAGACCAGACGGCCACAAGCTTCCTTAATCTTACCAAAATGCTGTCAAAAGCTGGTGCGGGTGCTCGCTACAGGTGCTGGGGGGGGGGGGGGTGAGGCAGGCAGCACATGCGTCCCTGCTGGCATGTGGGGGGGGGGGCAGGGAGGGAAGGTAGGTGGGGGGGAGGGACAGGGAGGGAAGGTAGGTGGGGGGGAGGGACAAGGAGGGAAGGTAGGTGGGGGGGGAGGGACAGGGAGGGAAGGTAGGTGGGGGGGGAGGGACAGGGAGGGAAGGTAGGTGGGGGGGGAGGGACAGGGAGGGAAGGTAGGTGGGGGGGGAGGGACAGGGAGGGAAGGTAGGTGGGGGGAGGGACAAGGAGGGAAGGTAGGTGGGGGGGGGAGGGACAGGGAGGGAAGGTAGGTGGGGGGAGGGACAAGGAGGGAAGGTAGGTGGGGGGGGAGGGACAGGGAGGGAAGGTAGGTGGGGGGAGGGACAAGGAGGGAAGGTAGGTGGGGGGGGGGAGGGACAGGGAGGGAAGGTAGGTGGGGGGGGGGGAGGGACAGGGAGGGAAGGTAGGTAGGGGGGGAGGGAAGGTAGGTGGGGGGAGAGGGAAGGTAGGTGGGGGGGGAGGGAAGGTAGGTGGGGGGGGAGGGACAGGGAGGGAAGGTAGGTGGGGGGGAGGGACAGGGAGGGAAGGTAGGTGGGGGGGAGGGACAGGGAGGGAAGGTAGGTGGGGGGGGGGGAGGGACAGGGAGGGAAGGTAGGTGGGGGGGGAGGGACAGGGAGGGAAGGTAGGTGGGGGGGGGAGGGACAGGGAGGGAAGGTAGGGGGGGGGGAGAAGGACAGGGAGGGAAGGTAGGTGGGGGGGGAGGGACAGGGAGGGAAGGTAGGTAGGTGGGAGGAGGGACAGGGAGGGAAGGTAGGTGGGGGAGGGACAGGGAGGGAAGGTAGGTGGGGGGGAGGGACAGGGAGGGAAGGTAGGTGGGGGGGAGGGACAGGGAGGGAAGGTAGGTGGGGGGAGGGACAGGGAGGGAAGGTAGGTAGGGGGGAGGGACAGGGAGGGAAGGTAGGTGGAGGGAGGGACAGGGAGGGTAGGTAGGTGGGGGGGAGGGACAGGGAGGGAAGGTAGGTGGGGGGAGGGACAGGGAGGGAAGGACTGAGACGGAAGAGTGACAGACAAAATACAGTAGGAGGCAGAGTGATATAGATACAGTAGGAGGATACAGTAGGATGCAGGCAGGGGGGCGGGCGGGGGGGGGCAGGGTACACGCCCCCCCTCACTCTACACACTACATCTCTAAGTGTGTGAGTGTGATCTTCACCACTCTATACATCATACATCATACACTATACACTACGCTGTCTCAACATTCTCACACATTAACAAGAGAAATAAAGAAATATATGCGGTATACATATTAATACATGTATACACAAATATATGCGGTATACATATTGATATAAAGTGTATACACAAATCAATGTGGTATACATATTTCTAAATATACATAAATATATGCAGTCATACATTCATATGCATGTATATGTATCAAGCTTCAATGGTCCCCAAGCTCACATGCATTCTTCAGGGGTCAAGAATTGTATAAATATATATATATATATATATATATATATATATATATATATATATATATATATATATATATATATATATATATATATATATATTATAGAACTTAAATAAAAAATGCATTTAACGATATAAAAAGACAAAGGCGTTCTTGTCCTAAAATTTTTATATTTTAACTTTAGGAAAGAAATAGTTATTGTCTTGTTCATCAAAACAAGAATATTTAATATTTTCTTCCTTTAAGAATCATGGCGACTGTAAGACAAAATAAAGAGAGTGCTGGGTGGCAACGGATGAGGATTTTTGATGTCCTGATCAATACATCACCACTATATTATAGATATAGATATCCATTTCGGTTTGACGGTTTTGATATAGAAGTTAGTTGTAATCTCTAATATATGGTGCTTAATACTGATGGCGTGGTCAAGTAAATTGGAATAATTTTGATGTAACTTACCAGAGGGGGGGAGGGGTAGGGGAGGGGACAACCTTACCTCAATACAGATGTTAACTTTACATAAAGTAATATTACATAGACCAATTACAGTTAGTACCTTAGTGATTACAGCTACAGTGGACTGTAACGACGGAGAGAACTACCACACAGCCATTCATCTTGGGACACTGGTGGACACGGCCATTCATCTTGGGACACTGGTGGACACGGCCATTCATCTTGGGACACTGGTGGACACAGCCATTCATCTTGGGACACTGGAGGACACAGCCATTCATCTTGGGACACTGGAGGACACAGCCATTCATCTTGGGACACTGGAGGACACAGCCATTCATCTTGGGACACTGGAGGACACAGCCATTCATCTTGGGACACTGGAGGACACAGCCATTCATCTTGGGACACTGGAGGACACAGCCATTCATCTTGGGACACTGGTGGACACAGCCATTCATCTTGGGACACTGGAGGACACAGCCATTCATCTTGGGACACTGGAGGACACAGCCATTCATCTTGGGACACTGGAGGACACAGCCATTCATCTTGGGACACTGGAGGACACAGCCATTCATCTTGGGACACTGGAGGACACAGCCATTCATCTTGGGACACTGGAGGACACAGCCATTCATCTTGGGACACTGGAGGACACAGCCATTCATCTTGGGACACTGGAGGACACAGCCATTCATCTTGGGACACTGGAGGACACAGCCATTCATCTTGGGACACTGGAGGACACAGCCATTCATCTTGGGACACTGGAGGACACAGCCAGTCATCTCCCTGACGTAGTGAGTATCAGAGGGAGACAACTCCCCGAAGAGCTTCACCTACAGGAGCAGACTACACACAGATCACACTAAGCAGTACCCTGATAGGCCTCAAGGCGGGTTCCTCGCCCATCAGGACACGTTAAGGGCCGTACCCTGGCACTGTACCCTGGCACTGTACCCTGGCACTGTACCATGGCACTGTACCCTGGCACTGTACCCTGGCACTGTACCATGGCACTGTACCCTGGCACTGTACCCTGGCACTGTACCCTGGCACTGTACCATGGCACTGTACCATGGCACTGTACCAGAGCCTGCAACAATCTCAATCACCAACGACTCCATGAGTCACGACACGGTAGAGAGAATGACCTCGTGTCATAGTCGTCGTTGTGTGAGTCACGACCACCGTTACTGAAGGCTGTAGGGAGAGTCGTACCTTTCCACTGGTTAAGTTACACTGGAAATTACAGTTACAGGTTCCTGACCGCTTTCAGGAGGCTACAGTGTTTGGCTCCTACAAAGGCTCCTATTCGTTACAGTGAATTTGTGTAGAGTCATTCCTGGTACAGTGAACCTACACAACTCTTCAGGTACAGTAGTACCTGTGTAAATAGGATTTGCAATAGTATTGACTTAATTCAAAGCTGTTGGGTACATGACACTTGGTCATTATAGTGTATCTCCTTGAGGTTATATTGAGATGATTTCGGGGCTTAGCGTCCCCGCGGCCCGGTCCTCGACCAGGCCTCCTTTTTGTTACACACCCCCAGGAAGCAGGGCGGAGCAGCTGTAACGCCAAGGTACCTATTTACTGCTAGGTAACAGAAGCATCAGGTTGAAAGAAACTCATTTGTTTCCGCCTTCACCGGGGATCGAACCCGGAACCTCAGCACTACGAATCCTGATCGCAGTCCACTCAGCTGTCAGGCCCTGTGACCTAACCTTAACATTATAAAAATTACACAAACGTAATATAATATTCACTAATTGCATCGTCATTGTTGCAATAATATTAATTTTGAATGGCAACGTAATATTTTCAACGTTTTCAGACCTCTGTTCTTTCCTCAGTTTAAACCTTAAATTACTTTATATAAAGCTAAAATGTGTTTGGAAACATCTTGGCTCCAGACACATTAAATCTTGTCAATGTTACACTTGCTGTTTAGGTTCCTTAAATATTATGCATATTTAAAAAATATATTTTAATCAATAAATTAAAATGACTGTGTTTCCGAGGTTGGAGGCCAGACGCTTGGGGTCTCGCCTCACTGAATGTTTAACAGTAAATGCTGTTGGGTACATGGCCATCATGGTCGAGTCAGCGACAGCATCAACGTGTGCCACTTGATGTGTGTGTCACGGTGCCAAAGTGACCACCGTCACAAATCTTGTAAAATTAACTCGACCCTGAATTTGTTCTTTGTTGTACTTGCAATATTGTGTAACAGTACTAACTCATGTCTGCATTTCTTGTACTATTATACTTTGCTTATAATGTGTTGATGTGATCAGCTCCTGGTCCCTGCCACTATAACCCCTACCCCCCCCTAGGTGCCCCCCCTGTACCCCCCCCCCCCAGGAGTCCCCCCTGGTGCCCCCCCATGTACCCCCACCCCCCCCATGTGCCCCCCTATGTACCCCCCCCCCTCCTAGGTGCCCACCCTCCTTATACACAGTTTCCGTCTTACGTCCAGAACGCATCCATGTGATCTGTACACTGGTACTGAGAGAGCCATCAGCGAGCTGATGAGCAGTAAAAGAGGAGATAAGAAGCCTCAAAGAGAACCCTACTCAGGCTCAGCATCAGATAATCATCATAATAGAAGGTGGAAATATATCAATGGAAGGGACTGTCACTGTACATGAAACA